TGAATTTTTCCCTCCCTCCCCCCCCTCCCGGCAACGACGAGGACGACAACGACGAGGACGACAACGACGAAATACGCTATTGTTCCCTCGAAACTGTTCGTCGAATGACAAGTTGCTGCCTCGTCGCTGGAATCCCGGTAATACCATATTCCTTTCGAGAAACGAGGAGAGAACCGCGGCAAATAAGTGGCAAAGGGGACCGAAACTTATGCTCGAACGGTTATTCCAAGCTCTTTCGATGCGCATACTAACGTCACGTTATCGTATATCTTCAATGAACCCGCTCGAGTTGCTTTATCGTTCGTTTTCGCGCGATAATTTCCCATTCTTGTCCGCGACAATGTTTTATCGAGCGAAACGCTTGAAATACGGTCGAAACTTGGGTAAGCGCTTGACAATTATCCCCTTGACAAAACGAACGAGATATACGTCTCTTCTCCTTTTCTCGTCCTCCTTCCATATTCGACCAGATGCAAAGAAAACTTCCCTACCGATCTCTGATCGAGCATGCGCTCTCTTCCAAGTTCCGTGTCCATGTTTCACGATGCGTTTCGAGAGAACGCTCGACCCGCTGATACAACACCCGCTCTTCCTCGAGATACGCGGTTCTTTGGTCGAGGTAGAATCATTACAAAATCCATAGGCTCGTTTGCCCTCGGCGAAGAGGTCGTCGCCTCAAGATTCGACGAACCGTAAAACGTCTGACCGGCTGTACGTGCACGAGCATAGAGAGAGGTTCACGCGCGAGCCCTCTATCTGCTTGCTGCCTGCTGGCCTGCCTTTGTGCCCGAGTGGTGCGCGTATACGTGTGTCGCAAGCCCGCTCGACTGTGTCCAATGGCGGTGTATCGACACGAATTACGCGTGTATAGGTGCTGCCGTTTACGAGCTACGCTAAGGTCGTAAGGTGGAAACGCTCCTCGTATAAAGTCGCGCTTAGGACCTCCATCTTTTCTATTAACAAGGACAGAATTCTCTCGCAGAGGACGAAAGCTACTACCTGTTAAGGGAACAAACAACGGATTGCACGGTATATTCCTTGATTTTGAAAAATCAAAGAGAATTTATAAGAGGTATTTCGCGATGAAATTGAATTGGGGATACGTAGAAATCGTTTCGAGGAATAAATGGACGTCGATAGAAAATTGGAAGAGTATATTTCGAAAGCGCGAAGTAAATGGGAACGCGCGCCCACGCCGTTTTGTCAAGATATTTAGAAGCGTTGATCGTCTGCGAGGCTTCCTGTTTGGATCGGTCAGAGGAGAGTTTCTCCTCCGCATCCACACACGTCTCTCGCTATGATTCATCGGCCATTGGAGGCGTGAAAGTGGTTCAGTCACCTCGTCAAAAATAATTCGGTTGTACGAATCGCGTTTCAGGTTAAATCCAACGTTGGTTATTTCGTTTATCAACTTGATCAAAAAGCTCAAACGTATCGTATTATATATCGTTTTGTCGCAACACAGGCTAGATATTGGCAACGATCGAGTCGTATTTTTGCGATCAAAATTTTAAACAGGGAACTAATTTTCTCCCGGATTTACGAGAATCCTAGAAGAAACCAAGCTATATATCTCGTGTATAGCTCTCTCATGATAGTTTCTGATCGAGGGGTCTATTTTCGAGGCTGACCAATGCTCGGCAAGGTGCTCGCCTCGTTCGAAGATATACTCTTCGTTTCTCTCCCTCTTTTTCTTTCTTTTGCCAACGTCGCTAATTTTAAAAATTTACTCTTTCGGTGTTTCGCTCGCACGAATGACGTTAATAACGACGTCTACGACGAAATAAAGTTAAGCTAAGAATCGTCGAAAATGTCGCAATAACGCGAATTTTCGTTCTCGATCAAAATTAATCTTATCTTAGAAACGATTCGCTTGATTCGTTACAGTCGTACGTTACGAATCGCGAGTGAAAAATAACCACTGATCGATGAATATTTCTCGACACAAATTGCGTTGATACTTCGATTCGCATAGAGGTTAAGGAGGAAAAGAGATGTCCGTGTTTATTATATCGAAATTCGCGTTGTATAATTATATCAGGTATTTTCGAACGTCGCTCATCAAAGCCCAGACTTATTTTCGCCTCGTATAACCGTCATGCACCACCAATCTGTCGAGCAGAAGTCGGTTCAAAGATAAAAGTTTGTCGCCCGTTATATCCGGTATAAGAAATCGCGCGACCTGTTGCACAACGTTGAAAATCAACTCTCCGCATTCGTCTCCGCATATTCGCTCTATTTTCCTTTCCAATTCAATTCTCCTACGTTTCATCGGTCTTACGAATCTGTGTCGAGTTCGTGTCGCAAGAAAATTTATTTCACGATCGAATATCGAGTTTCGTTCTCCTCCCCCCCCCAAAAAAAAAAAAAAAAAAAAATAATTTCTGCCGATATATCAGACGGAATACCATCTAGATTTCCAATTCTCATTGGCCAGAATCGAAGTTCACGAGTGTCGGGTTGATAGATCGATTCGGATCACCTTACCAGCTGCGCGCACGATACCGAGAATTATTTTCTCGGTACGCAACAGTGGCCGCGAATTTTCGGGAATCGAAGCGGATTGAGAACTGTTCTTCTCTCTTTCTACGCTGGCCACTCGCCAACGGCACTGCGGTATGCCACGCTTTTGTCCACAAAAA